CCCTTGGCCTTGTTAAACCTCATGAGGTTCACATGGGCCCGCTTCTCCAGCTTGTCCAGGTCCCTCTGGATGGCATCCCGTCCCTCTGGCGTGTCGACCGCACCACTCAGCTTGGTGTCATCTGCAAACTTGCTGAGGGTGCACTCGATCCCACTGTCTGTGTCATTGATGAAGACATTAAACAGTACCGGTCCCAATATGGACCCCTGTGGGACGCCACTCAATATCTGATTCTTGTCAAATTTATGACTCTTATTGTTGTCAGATCTGAAATACAATTGGTTGTACCATGCTTAACAAACAAACGATAGGATCCTAACCATTGGATGGTTATGAAGATGAAAAGTTGGGAAAAGATTATAAAAACACTGAAAAGGAGAATTACATTTATTTTGTTTTCATATACTCTGTGCCCTGCATTGATAAATTTTGATATTACTAGATAACCCTATCTACCTAAAACCTCTCATAAAGGCTCTGACGATGCCTTCTGTTAAGGGAAAAAGCATGTCTTTTGGAGAAAGTCAATAAACTACATGGAACTAACTTGCCAAAATCAGTAAGCCACACACCTCCATTTACTGAAAAACCAAGACCCTTTGGAAAAGGACATTTACACTCCAACAGAAATCTCACCTTAGTGTCTAAAATTTGGCCTTTTAGAGTTATGTACTTTAAAAGAGTAAGACTATCTTTAATAAAACATACACAGATTAATACTGCTAATGTAGGATGAATGTAAGAGTGAGAGAATACAAAGCTGATCCAGCAATAGAAATACTTTCATACAAAGTATTTTGTTTGTACACAAATACAAACTTTGTCAGTGCAGAAGTAGCAGGACAACAATTATCCCACCCAGTCTGCTACGACGAACACATCCAGTGCTAGATATCCAGCTATACCTTCTGAACCTGTAGGCTTTTTTTCTCCCTCACAAACAGAGATATGAGTTTTTTAGTTTTCATAAATAAAAGAAATACAATATTCAAGAACATACATGCACACGCATAAAAGTGTGCACATATATATGTGCCTATAGTGTTCTTCGGGCTTTAACACAATTTTTTGGAGGGCATGCTGACCCAGTACTAGATCAACAGAACACAATGATCTCAGAGGTCTACAAATATTCTTTGAGAATATTCAGACCTCTAAAACAGCAGGTCCGTGGTGCAATGAAAGAAATGACGTAAGCTGGTGAGATGACTCTAACCTTAAATAATGGCTAAATGATTCTATGATTATTATTAATCTAGAAACACCAGAATCTTTTTTAAATATAGAAACATAGAGCACTTGGAAGATAAAAACAAATCATTATTCATTAAAAAATAAGAGAATTTCAGAGAAGAGAATAAAACAAGAAAGCTGAAGCAACATCTGAACATACAGACTGTGATGTCATATTTTTCTCTTTAAATCTATTCAGAATGTTTTCAGGGCCAATACTTGGCATAGTTGTTATTATCTAAAGACAGAAGTCTGTGACGGTGGGCTTGGGATACTTTTTCCTTCTCTTTAAACTTTTACAGTACAGTTCCTACTCTGTTAGAACTCTGCTCTTTTAGTGACCTATAAATGCCGTAACAATATAAACCTAAAATAATAATAGCAAAAAAAGTCAGTAAATCCAGCTTGAGAAAATTCTTTCAGATGATCAAGTGTACGGTCTCACCACTTAGGGACAAAATTATTTTGCCCTTGCAAACAGCTCTCCAATGTATTTTCCCAGGTTCATTGAGATATTCGTGTGACAACTATACGGCAAAAGTGTATTCCAATTGATTCATGGATTCCTTTCTCCATTTATCTCAAAATCCTCCTAAGGCCCGTAGGTGGGTATACACTATATGCAGAAGTTAGTTTCAGGCACAGTTTCGGGCCTGTGCCAAACAGAAGATCTGCCTCATAATCCAAGGTAGTCACACCAAATCCAACAAAAGAGATCCCTATAGTTTCACCAATACCTACAGTAATTCAACACAAAAAAATCCAGGCAGGAGGAAAATTCTTCCAAGAAGACTTTTTGTTTCCACAATAAAATACCATAAATATATTTTGTTAAATATTAAAGCATTTATGTAATTAATCCAAGGTAGTCACACCAAATCCAACAAAAGAGATCCCTATAGTTTCACCAATACCTACAGTAATTCAACACAAAAAAATCCAGGCAGGAGGAAAATTCTTCCAAGAAGACTTTTTGTTTCCACAATAAAATACCATAAATATATTTTGTTAAATATTAAAGCATTTATGTAACAGTCTCAGCACTTTTAAATTATTACCATTCCACTTGTAAACCTTAATGCCATATACTTCTTTGAGTAAGGTCTATCTGTAGTTATTTTTTAAAATTGAAAAAAATTGTAAAAATTTCTAATGAATTATAAAAAGTTCTAATGAGAGAGAAAGCAGAAAAGGAAGTTGCATCAGCTATGGCTGATGACATGCAAAAATTAAGAAACTAGACGAAATTCTATTTTCTCTAATTCTATACAAAAAGAACTCTTAAAAATTATTCTTAAGATGTAGAACTTTAATTGCTAAGATTTAACAAAATAATCTCAGCATCTGCTGATGATACAGGTTCACAGAGTTCTT